ACAGGCGGGCCGCTCTGCCGGGAGAAAGCGGGGCGCCGGCGTCGGATGCCTGCGTTACGCCACGCCGCTGCTGCTGTTGAGGCCTGGGCTCTGCTGGAGGTGGTGACGGAGACGGGAGGAGAAGAAGAGCGCCAGGGCAGCAGGAGGTGAGGGGGACAGGTAGGAAAGTGGGCAGGCGGGCCGGTGGGCAGGCCGTCTTTCTCTCTCTCTCCCCCCCCATCCCTTCCCGGTGATCTCTCTCTCTCTTTCTCTCTAGTGGGTCGGTCGGTGGTGCTACGTGTGAAGGCTGAGACGGGACCGAAGGGGATATAAAGGGGCGGGTTGAGGGGATGGTGGTGGTGGTGCTGATTGCTGCGGGGAGATGTTTCACGGCTTCTCTGACTGACTCCTGAGAGAGAGAGAGAGAGAGAGAGAGAGAGAATATATAAAATAACGTGTGTGTGTGTGACCTGAAAAGCAGCATCGTAAACAAACCTCTGAGGAACACCTCCCTGTGCTCTAGTTCCTAGGCGAGCTGCTCTGGTTTGGGTGTGAGAGAGAGAGACTGGGCAGGCGAGTTGAATCATCTCTAGCGATGGGTCTCCCCACCCGAAGGGGGTCCAAGCAAGAATCCTGTGGGTTTTGTTGGCTTGATCCTGTCATCTTTCTTTATCTTTTTCTTGCCTTCCTTTACTTAAGCTCCAACATAGACCCGGAAACTTTGCCCTGCGTTCTTCCACTCCCTTCCCACAACGTCGTGGATAACCCCGTGCTTGGGCTTTTAGAAATACTATTGTTTACTCATTTCTCCGTAGTTGAGAAGGATAGTTATGACTGAGAACCAGTCATAGCTTTTTTTAAAAAATGGATATTGTTGCATACCACAATTAAATTTATTAAACAATAGCTGGCCCTTTTTAAAATAACCTTTCTATGATTAGTAAAGCAATTTTTCTTTAAAGTTATTTCCTTATTTTTGGTTGATTAATGCGAAGGAGAAACTGCTGAGAAGTGGGGAAGAAGGATATGTGTACACCTCAGTCATTATGTTACAGGCAGGCACAACTTTTATAAGTGGTACCTGGAATTATCATGCCATATATTCAACAGTTTCCCCTTCCTTCTAGGGACCTGTACCAAGTCCATGTGAATTTCTAGCATTCTTAATGTAATACTGTATTGTATTTTCATTTTAAGTCTGTAGAAGCCATCTGATACTTCTTAAGAATAAAGTTGAGCTCTTTGCTTGTACATAAAGCATCTTGGGAGCAGTATCAGAAGGCCTTGCCAAGTGTATGTGGACTACATTAGTTAAACGACTGCAAAAAATTTGCTTGATTTTACTTAATATTATATTGACCCTTGTTCTAACTACCAAAACATACTGTAGTTTAAAACATAAGCTTTGTTGTTTTGATGTCTTAAAGAAACTGCCTTAAATTGAATCACATCCATGATCCATCTGACTCCATAGTGTACAAAGACTGACAGTGGCTGTCTGGGGTTTCAGAATAAGATTTTCCCTGGCCCTACTGGGCAGTGTGGATTGAACCATTTTTGTATGCAAAGTATGAATGACAGCCCTTCCTGATTTCTGCCCTACAAATTGTATCTGTCATTTGGAATAACAGCAGGATTACTGTGTCTGAATGACAGTTTGTAAAATGCTAATGATACAATTGTTGAAAGTTTCATAATTTTAAAATCTTGTTGAACAGTTCTTCATTCCTCTTCTGTGGAGTCAACTACTCTACTGTCTCTCCCATCATTAAAATACATTAAGGCCACAATTTTATTGGTTTGCATGATTGTATAATGACAACGTGGACAAACCATGCTTTGGTGTTAGTCCAGACTGTCATGGCTGTCTATCAGATGCTGAGTTAAAAGCGGTATTTAGTACCAAGGAGAAACAATAGGCAATAGAGTGGATGTTTGCTTTTAAGCACTATGAATGATAAGTAGCATAAATTTATTATTGGGGATCAAGGACTAGGAAGTAATTGCTGATGCTGAAACTTAAGACACACCATTTCATTTATAATTGGGAGATTCTCTATGCCCCCATATGAGTGATTTTCTTGATCTGATTTGATGTTCTCCAGCTATCTGAGTAGGGCAGTGTGACCTGTTCTTGAAATTGATTATTTATGTATTTCCAGCACACAATCTGGGTAGTTTGGGTGGTAATGAGAGGAAAACTTACTTTTCTTAATAACAATTTGCTTTTCAAAAATTTGGAAAACATGTTGCAACTTAATTTTATGTATGTATTTCTTCAGATGTAATTACTGTAGAACCCCCATATCTGCAAGGGATCCGGCTCCATGAATGCGTTAATATGAAGGAACCTTATATACAGCATACAAAGGGGTGGGACAAAGGCCACAATGAGGAGGGAACAAGGCCACAAGGGGACACCCTTGTATGTTGTATATAGTGAGTACAAGAACAGTAGATACCAATCCTGCAGATTCAGGGGTCTGACCGTACCACTTTATTCAGTGAGATTCACATTCATATATGTCTGCATGGGATTATAGCCTTTAATTTCCAAATAAGTAACTTGATTACTACAAACAGGTAGAGATAGACAGCCAAAGAGACGTTTCTAAGTGAATAAATTCTCTAGTGTAAAGGGTATGTGGACTTCACATCCAAAAAAATTGAGTTGTGCTTCTACACTGAATAAAGCTGTACTTATTTGCAAACCAATTTTTTAATTATTATATGAACTACTTTTAGAAGACATCTTTTTAAAGAAGTATATAAGTGCCAATAAGGAATAGCTGATTTTAATCAGTGTTGTAAGTATTTTTTCTCTTCGTGATTTAAATAATTGTTTCACACCTTCCCAAATTGTTTCACACCTTCCCGTGCTGCTGTGCATTCACATGTACATAAATGTTCTTCAGATGTTGTGTTGAATGTGTGAAGGCTGGAGGCAGTGTTACTGCATGCAGTCTAGACTTTTTACATGTCTATTTTCTTTTTTAAAAAGTGTACACAGAGCAAAACAAGTACTGTAATTTTATCTTCAGTGTTGTGCAACATTGTGAATGTGACTGTGACCCTGAACTTCAGTGATTGCCCCTTCAAATTATATAATCCCAAAAACATTACTTACACAGTCAAATAAAATTAAATAATATTGAAACTTTAGTCAGTCTTGTTGATAGGAAAGTAATATTTTCATTTTCTAAAATGTACAGTGCTGTAGAAACTAATCTTAGAAGTAAAGCGGAAAAAACTATTTAACTATATATACAGTGTTAAAGAAATGATCAAAGAAAGGATTTTGCAATGAACCCATCTTCCAAGTAACAATCTGTATAGGAACTTAGAAAAGAGCTGTTTTGCTTAAGTAAGAAGTTTATCCTCTTTTCATGACTGTCCTTTAGAGTGATTCATAATTGCTGGGAATAATCATTGAAGTGGCTTATTTTAAACTATAATTCTTTGTATGTTTTCTTCAGAAGAAATGTAAAATTTCTCGAAATTTTGTAACTATGAGAGGAGCCCCCGCTCCGAGTTGTTTTGAATGGAAGAAGAAATTTGAGGAGAATCTGAAATATATGCAGTACTTATTTTTAATCTCAAACCTAAAATTATTTTACTGCTTGAGCAACATAGAATACTTTCCCCATAACGTAGTCAACTTATAAAATTATGTTATATGGCATACTTGTGAAATTTTAAAATATAAAGTTTAATTTGATACAAAGAAAATTGTTAATTTTTCCTTTCCTAAAGAGAGCTGCAAATTGCTTCCCTTTTACTATCTGACCATATGTATCTTAGTTTTTGCGATCTGAGAAATAAGGGAAGGAAACAGAAACAGATTTTACAATACAAGAAGTAAAGTCTGTTATTTAGACAGAAACAGTTCTACTTCCACTGCCATTGCCTCTACCAGACTAAAATGGATGTCACCAGAAGAACCAAGCAGGAATCCACAAGTGATGAAGCCCCCTCTGCCGGTGTGCTCTCTTAGGAAGATGAAAACATGTTACCCTTCTCTTATTCTATAAACAGTACTTAGATACAAATCCTCATACTTTTACATTCCTTCCGTATTGAGTAAAGAGAACCTACTCTTAAAAGCACTTCAATGATTCCAAAAAAGAAAATATTTTATTGTTTCCAATGGAAAAAATAGAAAATTTAACTTTGAGAAGAAAATAATGGGGGGAACTGCTTTGCCTGTTTTTTTCAGTCATTTTTTCTTGGCCTTCAAGTACAGTGGTGCCTCGCTTAGCGATTGCCTTGTTTAATGATGTATTCGCTTAGCGATGAGGTTTTAGGAGCGATCTTGCGCTCCGTTTAGTGATGTTTCCAATGGGGGGATTTCGCATAGCGATGTTCGGGACCATGCCTCACATAGCGATGATAGTTTGGGTACCCCTGTTTCGCTTAGCGATGTCCGTTTTTGCTATTTTTAAAGTGTCTTAAAATGTTCCAAAACTGTTTAAAATGCTTGGAATCATTAGTGCACCTTGTAAAACCTTTGCAAACTTAATTTGGCTTTGTTCTGAGTCTTCGTTAATTTTTGGTGAATTCCCCCCCCCACTGGAATGCATTGACAACTGTCAAACCTACAGTTCAATGCATTCCAATGGGGGGGGAATTCACCAAAAATTAACGAAGACTCAGAACAAAGCCAAATTAAGTTTGCAAAGGTTTTACAAGGTGCACTAACGATTCCAAGCATTTTAAACAGTTTTGGAACATTTTAAGACACTTTAAAAATAGCGAAAACGTACCTGTCAAAACCATTGAAATGCATTGAAACCTATTCAGTGCATTCCAATGGGGGAACCGCGTTTCGCTTAGTGATGTTTCCTATGGCGATTTTCGCTTAAGGACGGTAATCCGTTCCCATTGGTACGGATTATCCGGTTTTCAATGCATTCCTATGGGAAATGGTGTTTCGCTTAGCGATGTTTTCCCGTAGCAATGTTTTTTTAACCAATTAACATCGCTAAGCGAGGCACCACAGTATCTATCTGCTCTTTCACTGATCTCAAGTGGATTTACTTAGCTTTGAAAGATTTAGCTGCAAGCTGTAAATAGGAAAGTATGTCTGTCTTGTTATGAATGCACACTCTTTACAAATGTCTTCCTCTTCAGCTTGCTGACCAACCTTTGTTGCATTGTGTTGTTTTCTTTTAATGGTCTGG